TGTCCCCCAGGCTGGAGTGTAGTAGTGGGATCTTGGCTCACTGCAACCTCTGCTACCTGGGTTCAAGCGATTCTCCTGCCTCAGCCTCCCCAGTGGCTGGGATTACAGGTATGCACCACCACGCCTGGCTAATTTTTGTATTTTTCGTAGAGATGGGGTTTCACCATGTTGGCCAGGCTGGTCTCGAACTCCTGACCTCAAGTGATCTGCCTGCCTCGGCCTCTCAAAGTGCTGGGCATACAGGCATGAGCCACTGTACCCGGCCAAAAGAGCTGTTTCTTTAACCTGCTGACCCTTTCCTCCAAGCTTGGTGTGCAAAATGTAAAATCCATTGCTGTTACAGGGACCTAGACCCTTGCCACAGCCCACTGCCTCTGCAGCAGGTGGGGGCCAGCAGGGTGCCCAGATTGCCCCTGGGCTCTGTAGAGCACAGGATGAACATACTCATGAGGTGATTCCCAGGGTTTTTTTTTACTGATTTAGCCCTGGATGATGCTGCATTTCCACCTTGACGAGGGAGAGAAGGTTCAGGCTTCTGGTGTGGTAGGAGCTTGTAGTTTGAGGTTTTGCCCAGCTCCGTGACTGACATTTCATGAGTTCTGTTTTGGGACTGTGGTGTCTGCAGAAGTGCTGTTTCCTGAATATCTCTCACTGTCCTTGGTTATAGTGAAATTGAGCTTTTACATGAAACCTCAAGGCCTTTCATTTGATACAGCAAAAGTTCCATGTCACCCTTGCTGTACAGTCAGAGACAGTGAGGACTATTTTTCCTAATTCTGCTTGTATTTACACTAGTTTTATTCTCCCCAGGCCTCCTAGGAGCTGTAGGAAGCCATATCCCAGCAGGACACATGAGACTGGTCTGTGTTTTCCATGGTGACAGGGCCTTCGCCTTGGTTAAAGGCACATGCATTGATGATGGTTTAGGGCACATTTGTCCAACCAGCACTTTGGGAGACCGGGGTGGGTGGATCACCTGAGGTCAGGAATTCAAGACCAGCCTGGCCAACATGGTGAAACCCCATCTCTACCAAACATACAAAAATTAGCCGGGCGTGGTGGCACGCGCCTGTAATCCCAGCTACTCAGGAGGCTGAGGCAGGAGAATTGCTTGACCCAGGGAGGCGGAGGTTGCAGTGAACTCAGATCGTGCCACTGCACTCCAGCCTGGGTGACAGAGCGAGACTCTGTCTCAAAACAAACAAAAACCTGTAAACTTTCTAAAAACATTATGAGATTTATGCACAGACCTTTTTTCTTTTTTTCTTTTTTTAAGCTCATCAGCTATCATTCATGTTAGTGTATTTTATGTGTGGCCCAAGACAATTCTTCCAGTGTGGCCCAGGGAAGCCAAAACGTTAGACACCCCTGGTTTAGGGTTTTGTGCAACACTGAACCACAGACGGGACTTGGTGGCAAATGACACGAGCAGGGGGACCCCCGAGCTCCTCCTCTTCTGCTGGGTCAGGGAATAAACCTCCATTTTCCTGAGCCCCTGCCTGGTCAGGTGGGAGCTGGGCACCTGCAGTCAGCTGGCATTTTCCCTCTAGAGTGTTAGAAATTCTTAGCACATCTCTTCTCCTGGCACATTTTACTGGCTGGAATCCCAGCTGCTGTGGGTGTGGGCTTGGTGGCCGGGGAGCCTCCTTGTTCAGTTGGCCTGAAGTCTGGAGGGTGGAAGGGGCATCTTAGGGTGCCCTGGGGTGCAGCAGAGCCTGGGCAGCATACCCGGCTCCCATTCCAGTGCTGTGCCCCAGAAAACTCCTTCCAGTCACTTCTGTCTGTGCTGTCTCTTGCTGGGCTTTATGTGCTTTTCACCCCCTGCTGCGGGTGGAGCCTGAGGGATTGTGGAGGGAGCCTCGTGTCCCTGAGGTGCTCAGTGAGCTGTGCCGGAGCCGTTCAGGGCCGGGGTGTGACTGAAGGCGTCAGTGTCAGGGGTTTCCCCAAGATCCCTGCCGTCAGGCTGGCTTCATTGCCGTTGTGGCTGGGGGGTCTGTGGTGAGCTGCGCAGGTCAGGGGTGGACGAGCTGCCCCTTCCGCTGCCATCCCCAGCCCTCTGCTGTCTCCAGAGCTCGGATGCTCCCCTCAGTGGCAGCCAGGGCCCAGGGCTTTGGGCTGATCTTTCATACTGCAGGTGCCTCTGACGGTGGGGTCAGGCTGTGTGCGCCGTGGCCTGGCCTGTGCCCCCACCGAGAGCTGCTACCGGTGTGAGCAGAGCAGCCAAGGCAGCCTCTGTGTGGGGTTTGGCCCGTGGGGGCTGCCCCGTGTCCCCAGGTGCTGTGTGACTCTAGGGGCTGGTCATCCCTCTGCCATGATGGGGCCCCTGTTCCACTGCAGGGCTGCCTGCCACTTGCTGTGCATTCACTGCCCTTTTGGGCTGTGTCTATGGCTGTGCCGCCTGCACAAAACCATGTGTGAGGCCAGAGAGGAGCCTGCGCCCACCGCCGTCCCTGCCATCCAATGTAACGCTTATGTGTGCAGCCCCAGGCGGCCGCCTCCCTTCCTGGCTCCTCAGCCCAGGCACCAAATGCCTCTGCTGGCCCTGCCGTCGTGGCTTCAAAGCACGTCCTTCCTGCAGCTGCTGTCCCTCCTGCCCTGCACCGCTTCCTAGGCCTGCATTTCTCTCTCTTTTACTGATGTGGAGATGATGCCCTCATTCTTCTCTGTATCCATCCCGGGAGTGCCTGTTTTCGGCACAGCTCACAGCGTCAGATGGGGGAGCTCAGATTTTCTGTGGTGCTTGATGGAGCCGCCGGGGATTGGGGGGTCCGGGGTGCCTGGCTCTCCCAGCATGTGTGTCGGTGGAGACACCGGCTCTTTGAAGCCCAGAGGAAGGCTGGATGGGCTGATCAGCAGGAGGCCGGGCAGCTGTCCTGCTGGATCGCAGGCCTTGTGCCCATCAAGACTGCTGGGCTCAGAGGTGTCTCCGCCTGGTCTTGGGTGGGCCGGTGGGGAAGGGAGCGCCCTGCAGACCTGGCTGGTGGTCCTGGGGAGCCCCTCTGACTCTGGGAGGAAGGAACCGGCCCAGGCCAGGCTTGGGTCTGAGTTCCCAGGCAGGGTTCCCAGTCCTGTGTGTGTCCTTGTGGGTAAGCTCCCTCTCCCCCTCACCTTCTAGGGTAAGCAGGAGGAGAATGACGTGCTGGAGGAGCTGAACTTCTTCTTGGATCTGCTGCAGTCGTATAAGGTGAGTCTTGGCTGCTCCTTGGTTAGGGGCAGAGCTTTCAGGAATGATCTTAGGATCTTTCAAGGGTATAACTCGGGGGATAGGAGGAGCTGAGAAGCCAGGGCTGCAGCGGGAGATGGGACCTTCTGTCTCTCGGGTGTGCTGCCCTCGGCTGGCTCTGCAGGGCCCTGGTGCGGGCTTTGGGAGCCAAGGCCGAATGCCTCCCCTGACCCTGCAGGACCTGTGTGAGCGGCACGAGAAGGGTGTGCTGCACAAGCACCAGCGGGCCTTGCACAAATACAGCCTGGTGAAGAAGCAGATGATGAGCGCTGCCGTGCACAACAGCGAGCCAGAGTCCGTGGAGCAGCTGGAGTCCCGCATTGTGGAGGTGGGTGGCTGGGATGGCCAGGCAGGCCCGTGGGAGCCTTTCCCCCCCAGCCTTGGTGGGCCCCGGAGCTGTCCCAGTGGGCTCTCCTGGGTTGGCCCCATGCGTGTGGAACAGAGCTGGGGGTGCAGTGGAGGCTGGGAGCTGCCTTGGGTACCCAGAGTGACATGGCTCCCTGCCCGGTGCTCCCTCCCTGGCCCTCTCTTACCTTGCCACCTTCCAAATGCCTGGTGAAGGCTGAAGGAGGAGGGGCCGCCCGGGCTCAGGGAGCACGCTGGTGTTCAGGCCTTGATGCTCCTCCAGCCCCTGGCTGGGCCAGGTGCGAAGGTGGCTGTTGAATTTGCAGCAGGAGAATGCGATTCAGACCATGGAGCTGCGGAACTACTTCTCCCTGTACTGCCTGCACCAGGAGACGCAGCTCATCCACGTCTACCTGCCC